GAGACAGAGAGAGAGAGAGAGACAGAGACAGAGACAGAGAGAGAGGCTGAGGGGCGGCGGAGGCAGAAAGGTTAAATTGAACTGGCGCTGGCCGTCGGGAGGTCGTCCGCTGTGACGCTCATTTCCTCCGGAAACTCTGGAGACTCACCACAAAAAAAAAGCCAGATTTAATCAATCAGGCCCAGACGCTGGTTATGAAACCCATCAGATCGTGTGATGAGGTAATAACAGGAGGAGGTTTCTCGGGGTCTCATGCAGAGTGGAGCTACACATGAAGGTTAACCAGCCGACTCTACTGACACATACAGTATGTCTCGTGGTCACTCACAGGGAGTCAGCTCACAACTGCTGCTAATGACAATAATCTGTCTGTTTTTGGGGATTAATCAATAGTTTAAATTGAACTTTAACGTATCGTAATAAAGTAAATGTTGATGTTTACTACTATGTCACTTTGTTTGTATTGATATTGCTTTTACTGTTTCTGTTTTACCATGTTAAGTGTGTTTGAGTGCCTTTAAAGCACTATACAATCTAAATGTATCATTATTCTTATTATAAAACTTAAGAGTGGCAGTGAAAATACTAAATAAATAGAATTATGGAACAAATACTCAGAAATGAAACAGATTATGACAAAGCCCGTCTGTAGAGTACCACTTCTCAAACGTAAGGATCATTTGTTATTATTGTGTTAAATTTTACAGACTAAACGATTAATCAATTAATCAAAAGACATCAAAAGACAGATTCATCAATAATGAAAAGTTTCAGCCGTTCGCAGGTTGAATGTTGTAAACAGGTAAATGATTGAAGTCATGGATCACTTTGCTCTTGTTGAGATTTGAGGCTTTACGTCCTTTAAACTCACCTCCACTCATCTGGACTGTGACGGCCACAGTAATCCGGTCAGAGTGACCTTTGTGGTGTCATCGGAGGGTTTTGTGTGGTGGGGGGGTGGATGGAGGGTGCCCAGATGGCTCAGCTCATCTGTATTCTGCACCGCTAAGAGGATCTCTGAGGAAGTGTGGCAAGACAGAAAACCGTGGTCTCAGGTCACCCGGATCCTCACGGGACGCTCAGGACCTCCAAACGCCTCCAAACGGATATACATATATAAATACATACTCCACTATTCTGCTGTAATCCTGTAAAGCTCCCCGCTGCGGGACTAATAAAGGATTATCTCATCTTATCTTAAATGTATATCATAACTGCAATGTCTGATTCACTTCACTGAGATCACACGTCGACCTAGAGTTAAAATAATTACCCGGATAACCGATCAACAGGAAATCTGATCATTTAGAGAGTGAACTAATCATCGACTGCTTTTCCTTGTTGGACGCGATGCTAACGAGTAAACCAAAAAAAACACTCGACTTGGGCCGATTTTTGGGTTTGGTACACCTGCTCCCTGAAAACACGACATTGTGAAACACAAATCTGTCCTTAAGTCAGCAGGAGGAGCGCTAGTAGCGTTAGCAGCACCGCTAAACGCTAATAACAGAGGTTGCATTGAGTTACATTATGATGCGTTCAAGCTCAGTTCGGTACAAACGAGTATTGGGGCGAAGGTAAGTTATAACGTTATCGTGATGTGTTCACATGTCATCTGTAAAATGTAGTTTTGAGGATAAACTTGAATAAATCCAGTAGTTTGAAGGAGATGTTTTCACGTTAATATAAAATAGATATTAGAGATGAATTCTCTTAACAGCTTAAAATACATCATTAAACTACTAATTACAAAACATTGTATACTTGATGGTGATGGTTTACTGACTTCAAAGTGGTTGAAATGACTTCTGGAGCTACATATACCACAAGGGAAACAATCTGTATTGGACAATATGGATCATCAATAATCCACAATTGGAACCAATGGTAAAAACATAACGTTTTAAAGTTATGTTTGCTTCCTTTTTCTCTTGTGCGCTGATCCGTTTAACTCAAAACTGTGTTACGATTCGAGCTGTGAGTTCTTGCTACCTGTGGTTGGTTATTACATAATCTATGTATTATGTGCAACTCCCACATTTTATAGTAACCACTGCAATGTACTAAAATGCAGGTATATGTATTGCGTATTTCGTCTGAAATGCACATGAACAACCTGTAGAGTACGTATAATGTGTACACTGAACACACTCTATTTAAGGTCATGAATTGATCGTTATAATAATCATCATCTTGGACCGGAGGACCTGAAAGGACTCGTTAGCTCGTAACACCTGGAGGACTCGTTAAGGTCTCATTATGAAGCGAACCGTGACGTTTAAAATAAAGCCGACGACGTGTGAACGCGACACGGAGCCCTTCGACCGTCACCGTCCGTCCTCTCAACCTCTGGAACACTAAAGAGTGAGTCAGCCGAGCGTCCCGGGACAGATGGGAACGCTGTGCTCTCCTAACCACCAGCTGGAGGGGGGGGGGGGCACGGTGACAGGTGGTAAGTTTAATATCTTAATAACAATAATAACAGCATAACTACTACTTAATGTAACTGTATTGATATAGACAGCTTATGGTTTCGGCATTTCAGCCGTCGGCATCTTGTTTTGTTTCCCAACCATTGAACAGGAAGTGACCATATATGGACTGAGGAGGAGTGACGTAGAGACGCCGTATACGTCTCTGGTAGAGACCTGTCAATCACCGTGTAGCCCCGCCCTAACGCATCCCCTGCTTTATGGTGTGTGTGACTCTAAATGGACCATAAGTTACTAAATGAACATCATGGTACAACAACAGACGCCCCATAGAAAGATGCTGCACCAGAGTCATCTTGTAGTATAACAGATGTAAATAATAAATGTTTATCTGCTGCGTCTCAATTAGGAAGAAGGCGGGAACTGTATGATGAAGAGAGAGCTGTGCTTTTTTAGAAAAGTATAAAAATATAAAGGCACAGCAGCTGACCACGGCAGACTCAAACGTACTTTACACCTCTGTATGTTTGAGCTGGAGGAATTATATTATTAGTTGTAACTTAGGCTTTAATTCAAGTACATCTGTCATGATTTTAATAAACTAAAATCACGTTGCATTGAAATCAGCGGCCTCATTCACACACAGGGTGTTATTATCAATCAGGTAAATAAGTAGTAAGTATCGTGGAATCAATCGTTCTCATTCATCACAACTGCTGAAGGATTCGTGTCCTTTTTCCATTTGCAGTTATCATGACTAAGGCTGCGTGTTGATGGCTGTAATCAATGGAAATGCAGAGCCCGATGATGACGCACGCCGCTCACTTTACCTGCATCACGGAGTACTTCAGTGGAAATATAGCTTTTGTTGTTCAGAATGAAGTCGGAATGTCTTTTTCTGCAGCTCAGCCGTTTAATCACGTGCTCTCGTGATGTCGTGCTGGAGGCGTGTTCGTCCTTGATGTTTGAGTTAATGGATAAAAAGGTTGCACCTGCTTTGGTCTATTCCTAAAAAATGTGTCACAGCTGTAGTGGAGTTCATTTGGTCTGAACTGAGGGTAGAATATACAATACATTATTAACGGCATGCTGGGTTCAGCTCGTTCTCCGTCGCTCGCTACAACATTTACTGTTACGTCATCAAATGGCATGCTGGGTAAAGCTTGAAACACACGAAGCCTTGACTTCACTCTTCAGACCCGGAGGTCGACGTCTGGTGCACGAGAGCCTTTAACCACAGGTGTGTTGTACGAGTAGCGATCAGGTAGCCAGTACCACGTGTTGGTGTTCCTGTGTAGCGTAACGAGCCGATGAATGATACGATAACATGATATCTGATGTGTGCAGAGACTCGTGTACTCGCCATTACCTCATCCAGGATCTCAGTCTGGATCTGAGACGTCAACCACCACATCACCGGAGGACTACGCTTAAAGCCATTGATGCCTGCGTTTTATCTTTTATATGTTTATTTAATGTCTTGTCTTAATGTTTTTATACATTTTTTACCTTGTTGCTGCTGAACTGACTGATGAGTCGCCAACTTCATTTCGTTGTATCTTTTTACGATGACAACAAACATCCTTATCCTCACATCTTGGACGATGAGGATTGACACACTAGATTCTTGCTTACAAATACACATCATTGATGCTTTGTTAGGGACAATAGCTTCAATGTAGCACAAGGCTGTTATACATTGTCATTATCGTCGGTTAACAGTGTTTATGCAGCGTTGATTAAATTCTCCTTTTTGGCATTGCCCGCCTCGACAGGCTCTCTTGAGGAGGAGGAGAGAAAAGCTGGTGTAAATGAGCATGAGCGACCGTGCTTTAAGCAGGAGGGATGAACGATGGAAAATCATCCGCATCCTTTTGATATTTTACACATTTCCATTTCCAGAGAGGTTTGAATGCGCGGCACAACAGAGAACCGGTGGGACGCAGGATCGATGATGGTGGTAAAGAAGTGGCCGAGGCAACCTGTCGATTGGGAAAACTGTTTTCACCTGAAGCCTCGCGCAAAGGCCGGCTGACACAGAGCAAAAGGGTGAAATGAAATAGTGTATGAGAGAGAGAGAGAGAGAGAGAGAGAGAGAGAGAGAGAGAGAGAGAGAGAGAGAGAGAGAGAGAGAGAGAAAGGGCGGCGGTGGGGGAGAAAATAGAGCTTTGGGTGGTGGTTACCTGGAAGAAGTGCCAGAGCTGGTCGGCCAGGGTGCTGATCAGAGAGAGGATGTGACGAATGAGGAAGGACTTCGACATGCTGCTGTCCCCCAGTGTGATCAGATACTCCATCAGCTTCTCTGCAGACCGGAGCTGAAGGTTTGGAGAAAAAAAACAAGATTTTACTCAGAGAGAGATTCTTTAAAACTCTCTATTCACTAACGTTTAAAACTTTAAAGCAACATCAACAAGAAGTGACCATATCTGGACTGAGGAGGAGTGATGTAGAGACGCCGTATACGTCTCTGGTAGAGACCTGTCAATCAGCGTGTAGCCCCGCCCTGAAGCATCCCCTGCTTTATGGTCTGTGTGACTCTAAATGGACCATAATGTACTAAATGAACATCATGCTGTATTGAAGAAGACTTGAAACTAGAGATTGAGACCATAAACTCATGTTTACAATGTTTACTGAGGTAATAAATCAAGAGAGAAGTAGAGTCATTTTCTCATAGACTTCTGTACAACCAGAGGAGTCGCCCCCTTGTGGTCAGTAGAGAGAATGCAGCTTTAACACATGAAGCTTTGATAGAACTTTAAAGAACCGGAGGTTGTCGCCTCAAAAAGACCAAAACCAACAACATGTTCGTCTGTCTCTCAGTACTGTGTCATTTCCTGTCTGTCTCTCAGCTACGAGCTCATTGAATTCTACTGACGTGAATCATTAAAAAACACGAATCAGTAATCTCCTAAAACAGCTGGTTACTGTTTTCATTAATAAAACACACAGGACATAGTGTGTTCTGTTGGGGACTATTTTCTGCGGTGGATTAATCCACATTTGGTGCTCTAGTGAGTATTTGTGTTTGGGATCGAGTCTAAATAAACTCCTAAAACAGCTGCTCAACACTTGTTAGTAGATACTGATGGTTTGGTCTTTTTAGGGGATTTATATATTATTACACGACGTGTTCCATCCTAAAAACACATGCAGCTAACAGCTAGCTGCTGCTACAGGTTTTAATTTCTCCTGACCCTGGAGGGACTGTGCTTAGTATGCATGCTCACATTCAGCAACAGCCTCATTTATATTCACTCAGCTTTTCATATTTTTCAACACATCCACTCTGTTGTCGTGCCAGCAGGCAGCTCCTCCGCCTCAGCAGCAGCTGGGGATCAATTGTTTGGCTCAGGGGCACCGTGACCATTGTTGTCCTTTCACTGTGGGTTTTTGGGGGGGAATTCAACTCGTAGCCTTGCACAATTTTGGAAGTGCAGAGCTGAAATAGTTTGATGCTTACAGCTGATCAGATAGGCGTGTTTGGTTGTTCTTCAAAACGAGAGCAGCTTAAAGAGGAACGAAAAGAGAGAGAGAAATTCAATTTGCTTCGTCGTTGCCTCTGCTGCTGATTACCTCTCGAGCGCTGAATGGTGCGAGGACATCGTGTTGAAATGGTCGGGATGACTCTCCCATCCAACAGATTAACTCAGAATTTTGAAACAATTGAAGGGAGGAGATTGTTTTTCTAACCAGATTGCCCTCAGGCCTTCCTTCCTTCTCTCACCTCTTTAGCCTCCTGGTGCACAAACACACCGAGCTGCTTGTTTACTTTGAGAACAGAACTTGAAGAGCTGCTGTGTTTGAAGTATTTGGATTTTGTGATTGTGATTCACCACAGATGTCAAGCTACACTTATTCTCCTTTGTCCTTTTTATTGTAATCAGTATTGACGTCATACTCAAGAAACGGGACTAAAACTAGTCTCATGGCGTAACCGCGAGAATGCAGCTTTAACACATGAAGCATTGGCTTCACTTTTCAGAACCGGAGGTTGCTGCCTGGAAAAAAAATACAACTGCACCAGCCTCTGTGGATCGAAAGTCTCTGGAAACTCTGGAAGCACTGAGCGTCTTCTTCCAAAGCACTACAGTAAAATAACCATTTTTCATATTTACAGGCAAATGTTGTAGCCATAACAGTGAAAGGTAGCATTGTCTGAAGATGAATGGAGATATAAAAGGGGTAGTCGAGCGTTCTGTTAGGGGTTGAAACACATGAGGTGAGCTGGATGCAATAAACCGGAAGGTAATAAAAGTTCGTCTGGTGGACAAAAGGTTGACACGGTTAGATGATGCCGGTTTGAGGCTGCGTGAGGCCGGCCAGACACCAAACCGCTCTCCTCTCTGAAAGGTTATTACTACGGAATATGCCTGCAGTCAAACCCAATTGGGTGAGTGACATTTGAATGACTCCACTTGGGATTCAAGATTCTGCAATTTCATGGTCTGGGCTCTTCATCTTGTCCAATCTGCTTCCTCGTAGACGGCAATAACGGCTCAAGGTGTGTCTGAGAAACCTGAGCCAGAAAAGGAAAAAGAAGAGCTGTGAAGGCCGGAGCCTTCCTGCTGGGGAAAGTGCAGCCGCTCGCAGCATCACATCCTCGAGACACACTTAAGACTGTGAGCACTTAGCCGACTCTTATTCCATCGTTTTCAGTGTTTGACTACATAGCTGGGGAGGGAAAATGATGGCGAGTTCCCTGCAGCACCACGATGCCTAGAAGAGAAAACTCTCCGTCTGTTACCACAATATCAACCTTCTAGTTCACCGTCGCCATCTTGGATTACGGCCGTCTTTGTCTTGTTGTTTTTGCAACCAGTGAACAGGAAGTGACCATATTTGGACTGAGGAGGAGCTGTCATTTTATTGAAGAAAAAAAAAAGAAAATAATTATTCGTTGCAGTTTTAAAATGCTCCTCCATGAATCTATAAAAGTGTGTACAGAAAACATACTGGGCCCATTTTAACCTCATCACACAATCACAGATCAATTCTAACTTTTACCTACAATCTCTCGGCTGCAGCGGCGGAATACATTAAGCTGAGTCATCACATATTTCTTTACACAAACAAACCAATAGGCCTGCCCTCTGTAAAATAAAACATCATGAATCTTTAATAATGTTCATGGGACATTGGGAGGTATTACAACTTGTTTTTGTACTCCAACTACTGCAGAGTAAAGCGTAGTAAAGCTCCCTAATAACGCTAATAATCCCAGAATCTCATCTCCGTCTATTCATGTCAGCTTTATTTGAATGTTTAATGTGTGCGTCTGCACGAACGTTCAGGGGGATCACTTAGAATCTCTCTCTCTGGTTTAGTGAGATTTATCTTGTTTTAATTTCTTTTCTTTTTATTTGATATATTTCATGTCAGATATTTTTCACCTGCTGTACCGGGAAAATGAAAGTTTTGATACTTGCTGCTTTGTGCCGTCACCACTGAGAACATGTTAATTATTCATGCTGCGGAGGAAGACTAACACTTTTTAATAGCCACCTTTCAAGTCAGGAGCTGACTGCAATGTTTGATATGAAAGGAGACATTAGGAGGTGTGTGTTTCTCATATTACATCAAATACACACAGAAAGTTAGCATGACAAAAGAACTTATGTAGTTACAATGTTAAGTGTGTTAAACATAGACTGTATATAAGAAGTGGACGTAGTTATGGTGACTTCAGTCGTTGGTTTGTGGACGTTTTGAAGCCTCGAGTTCAGCATGTTGGCCGTCGCCATCTTGTTTTTTTGCAACCAGTGAACAGGAAGTGACCATATCTGGACTGAGAAGTGACGTAGAGACGCCCTATACGTCTCTGGTAGAGACCTGTCAATCACTGTGTAGCCCCGCCCTAAAGCATCCCCTGCTTTATGGTCTGTGTGACTCTAAATGGACCATAATGTACTAAATGAACATCATGCTGTATTGAAGAAGACTTGAAACTAGAGATTGAGACCATAAACTCATGTTTACAATGTTTACTGAGGTAATAAATCAAGAGAGAAGTAGAGTAATTTTCTCATAGACTTCTATACAACCAGAGGAGTCGCCCCCTGATGGACACTAGAGAGAATGCAGCTTTAACACATGAAGATTTGACTTCATTTTTCAGAACTGAGATATATATACATATCATATATCTATCAATATATCTATTTAAATATATCATGTTAATATTAATAATATAATTATTAAATTAGGTATTTTTTCCGTCCAACTGAAAGTGAAGAAATTGGATATAACGCCACATAATGAAACAGACATGTAGGTCAAATTTTAGAATAATAAATGTTGATCTTAACACCAGTGTGATGAGGTTGAAAATACACATTTGAAAAATACACATTTGAAAAATAAACATTTGACGGATCAAAGTCTAATAAACTTTGATCCTGCTGAGCGTCCAAGAGACCAGGACCAGACAACAATGAGGAGAAAGAGGTGAACTGGTGCTTGTTTATATATCTGATATATTCCAGATTATTAAGGAAACACACTGCATGCTTTACTCACCTCGCTGAGCTGATCTCTGTGCAGCAGCAGCAGCTCCGTCAGCTCCCTCAGCGACTCCTCCACCCGCCTCCTGAACTCCACCGACGGCAGCCTCTGGGAGCAGAAGAGGTCCATCGCTCGGGCCGCCACCCGGCAGGCCTGCAGGACCGGTTCTCCGGGTCCCAGCGGAGGAGGAGGGGGGCCCCGGCACGCCACAACCACCGAGTCCAGGAGCTGGCACACGGAGTCCGCCAACACGGACCCGGCATCGCCCTCCTCGGGGCTGAACCACAGGGACTCCAGGCCTCGGTCGCTCTCTTCTACTCGGTGGAGGGCGCACAGAGACTGGAGGAACTGTACGTGAGGAACCGCGGGTTCTCCACGAGGACATCCTGGAACCGGAGGCTGAGGGATGGGGGTGGCAGGTTGGGGGTCCTGGATCTCCAGTAGTTCAGGGGTCTCTGAGCCGCAGCCTGGTTGGAGGTCGGCGCTGTACGCCTCACTTCCTGGACCGAAAAGATCCTGAGAAGCGTCGTCCATTACGTCGTCGTGATCTGGAAGATTTAAACAGAAAACTTAAGTCTTGTTTTCAAATGTGAGGATTTGCTTTTTCCCAATTTATGAAATAGTAAGTTGATTATCTTTACGTCTCATCATGTGAAGATGAAAGCTTGGCTGTTTTCTTTCCCAGTAATAATTGTTAGTAGAATAGTGATTACACACTGACCGGGTCACAGAGAAGACAAGCAGCTACAAACCCGACAACTCAACCTTCATGAGCTTTATGTATCATCATCATAATCATGACGAGTCCGTCCTTCACATATCCTCCTCAGACTGAAGGCCTCAGCAGAGAAAAGCTCTTCATATCTTTATCAATGTTTTTAACAAAAGCTCACCTCTCTGTTCCTGTCTGTTGAATCAGCTTCTCTGCAACAATTCATTATTACTACACTTTTACCTTTCAACAGTGTTGGATCAAGTATTCAGATCCTTCATTTGAAGTAGTAATACCACAAAATAATCCACAAAAAGTAAACCTCTGAGATGTAGTACAGTAACAAGTACAACATGTACCTCTGAGATGTAGAACAGTAACAAGTACAATATGTACCTCTGAGATGTAGAACAGTAACAAGTACAATATGTACCTCTGAGATGTAGTACAGTAAAAAGTACAATATTTAGTGTAGTGGAGGAGTAGGAAGTAGCAGATCATGTAAATACTCAAGCAAAGTACACAAGTACCTAAAGTAAAAGTACGTAGTTACATTCCTCCACTGCTGCACCTTTAACTAAATTAATTTATTGTAAATAGAGAAGTATAACTGTCATCAGGAGCAGAAGTGTTCCTGCTTGTAGGATCATTCTACTTAAATAACTTATATTTAGTAACAATGGAGGAAGAAGTACCTGCTGCCTCCCTGCTGCTCCTCCTGTTTAACGTTGCTCTGGTGAACAGTAGTTCCTGTCGCAGCCTCAGCACCTCCTGCCGAAGCCTTCGGGCCGTTTCCTCCCGGCTTTCATCGCGGCGCCTCCACGTGAGGGCCAGATCCTCGGCGTACTCGGCGCCACTCATTCCCGAGGGCTTGTTCTTTATTATAGCCACGGCCACGGCCGCTTTGTCTTTGATGAAACGCCACTCCGCCCGACTCGCTGCTGGAACAGAGGGAAGGATGGGGGCCACAGTTTTTTAGGGAAAACCTAACAAAACATAGAAACCACAGAGGCAAGAGAATCTGGAAATTCTGCCACTTTATAGTTCAAAGAGAAGATATATGATTCACAAGAGTTAAGATGTGTGAGCCTCTGCTGACGGCGCGCAAGCTCGGAGCATGAACGGAGGCGTTTATACGAACAAACAAAATAAAATGTAAAGAATCAAAAAGACAATATGCACATAAACTTTGAATAACGTCACTTACATCACTGGTTATCGTAGATAGTCGCAGATCCTAGCTACTCTGGCGAGCTATCTCGAGTTAGCTTGCTCGCTAATTCCACCATGCTTTAATGCTACACTGGTTACAGGTTACCCTGGCTAACCAGCAGCCAACCGTCCTTAAGCCCTCAAGATAATGTTTTGTTATTTAATTTAATGTTTTAAAAACAGACACTTACCAGTGAACTGAAAAAAATACTCAATTAGTCCAAAAACAAAAAAAATAATCTGCTAGCAGTTTTTATTTATTAAAATTCCAGCTTCTCAGCGTATGATTTGTTGCTTTCATTTGTTTAATATGAGAGTAAAATGTATTTGGGTTTTTGACTGTTGGTCAGACAAAAGAAGCAATTCAAAGACGTCACTTTGGGCTTTTTGTGCTATTTTAATAGATCAAACAATGAATCGACTTGTCATGAAATAATTACTAGATAACTTGTAAATTAATTTAGTTAGTTGCAGCCCTATAAATGTGTGTATACTTGTCTGGAAGCCTGTCTACGTTTACTAAACACAATGTAGTGCTGATGGAATGTACATTTCCTCAAGAGCTGTACTTAAGTGGGCATTTCCATGTAAATGTTCATCCACGAATAAATAAACACACAAAATCACTTTAGAATGTGTCATTGAGGTCTATATTTTGTGATTACTTACTAGATTTTTCAGGAAATTACATATTTACCTTTAACCACAAAGTAGGATATTGCAATCATAACAGAATGATTTGTTTGAGGTCTTCGTGTTCATCCCACAATATGTTCTCCAGAGTTTACTTTACTTTTAGGATGATCAATCATATTATTTTGTCATGTCCCGCTCTTCTTTAAGATTACATTCTCCTCGTTTCCACTTATTATTTCCTTTTGTAAGATGTAAGTGTCTCACAAAACTGTTTGTATTGTATGATTGAGGAAGCTAGCTTAGTTGTTCGTTTAGGTTTACGCTATAGCTATTACAGCTGTTGGCTAGCTTTTTACTGTGCGTCTATTATCGGACAGCAAATCAAATGGAACTTATTACGTTAACATTTAATTTGTTCATCTTGTTTTATTACTTTCATCCAATTCCCAGATCAGTCTGGTGCCCAATGTATAATTGTTGTTACACTACAGCAGTAAATTAAGCTGAACTATGGCAAACTATAGCTAAGTTAGCTAACTAGCTAGCTAGCTAAAGTTACTGTGGTGCTAGCTTAGCTCACGAAACGCAACGTCAGTTTAACGTTACGTGACATTTCCGGTTTGAGCTACGAACGTCAACTGTCAAACTAATTAAATAACCTTTTTTAAATAATTAATAATTACCTTTTATATGACACTCGTTACTTTCCATCGCCTCAACGTCACAATAAACGTTTACAATCGTAACGTTAGCGATGCTACTACCATAGCTTTACACTGGACAGGTGTTACACCCAAATCTGTGACCCGTAGAATTCTGTGACCAAAAAAAAGAAAGATGGTGGATCAAACGTTACAGAAGGATCTCTTCATGTGGGTCTCTTCTCACAGCCAGAGGTGGAATATAAGTACTTTAGTACAATTATGGGGTATTTGTACTTGATTATTTCCGTTTTATGCTACTTTTATACTTCTAATCTACTACATTTAAGAGTGACATAATGTAGTTTTTACTCCACTACATTTATTTGACAAGTAGTCGCTTCAGATTTTACATACAAACCGTGCTCTTCTTAACAGGTCTTTTTAGGCTGTATTGAAACCTTTAGAGTGTAATATAAATATATATATATATATATATATATATATATATATATATATATATATTTATTTAAATGCAAGTCAACTTTAGTTAAGTATTTTCCAATTTCAAGTTTGATTTTTCATAATATAAATGGAGCAACTTGTCTCGTACTCTCATTTCTAAAACATTTTTAAACTTTTTAACATTTTAAAATTAAGGTGATTTTAAGTACAGGTTGGCGTATTTTCACTTTTACTTCTTTCAAAGGAGCACTCGACCAATTTTTTAAAATTTAAAACATGAAGATATGTTCATTAATCACGAGCATGGATTGAGTTGCATTATGAGAAGTGTAGTTGTATCTTGACCAATAAGATCTAAATAAGTTAGGATATCTCGGACTGTGCTGCTTCAAATTTAATATTTCAGGATTATATATATTATATATATATATATATATATATATATATATATATAATATATATATATATATACAATTCTGTAGTTTCACTTCAGTAAGATTTTGAATGAAGCACTCTTTTACTACTTTTAATGGTGTATTTTCACCCAGATTTTGGGGGATTTTACTCACTTTATTCACGTTAATAATGTGATATTAATAATTGAACCTCCCTCATGTTATCTGCACACCTGCAGTATAAACAGTGCATCTACCACACCACATGTAATATATACAGTATATACTGTATATATATTCTCAAATGATATTTGCACAGATAAAACTTTAAAGTCAATAACTCCACAAACTACCATGTTGGATGAAGACGGACAGAGGTCTGTCTGTCTGCAGGAATACCCTTTTTTATTGAGTAGATTTCAAATGTCCCCCCCCGAACCAGCTCTTCTTCTTCATGTGGAGGAGCAGCGGGTCGATACCGAGGTCCTTCTGGATCGCCGCTCACAGAGAGACGAGGCTGTGACACTCTCCCGAGGAGTCTCATTTACAGCCGAGGGTGAGATTCCCTCAGTCCTGTGAGCAGAGCCCTGCAGGCATGAAGGGTGAAGGTCGGCAGGAGCTCCACTTCTTTTGCTTTGTGACTCAGCAACATGATATCAATCTGCACAGGGTGGATGTGATGTGCAGTGTGGACGTTGGTAGGGTGAAAAAGAAGTGGGGATGAATTATTCATGCATGAAATCTCGCTTTTGGTTGTGCAAAGGATATAGACCCTGAGAAAAAAAATCATTTTTCAGCCAGCTCTGCCTCTAAAGTAACAAGCCGCTAAAAGGTGCTTCAGTTTGGAATTTAGGGAACAGAACAAACCTACAAAAGTTGCATCAAGTGCAGCTCCTCAAATCTGATCACGTGTCACTTTTCTCCTCCTCACTGATTGTCATGTGTTTCTTTTAGCATCAACATGCTAACGTTTAGCATAAAGAGTGAAGCTGGTCTCAAGGCGAAGCATCAACCAATCATCACCTTGTTCCGGTCCGTCTATAAGATTGTTCTTAGCCAGTGCTAATGATATCATTCATTATTGTTTTACATTAATAATATATAATATCGGTTTGTTACAGGTCTGAGCTTCCTAAAACAGGTACACAATGGACATAACTGTAAGTAAATAAACACACACCAAGTGAAATAAAATAAGGTAGAAATATATAAATAAAATACAAGGGTGGAGGTTGTAAAGTGGTCTATTGGACCTCTTCCTCTTTTATTTTGGCACCGAGTCTTTTCATTGGTAGTACTCTGAATATTTCTTAAAATGATAATAAGGCCGACATCATCAGGTTCAGCTTGATGCTGGACCATGATGGATCCAGGTCTCTGTGAAGATCCTCAACAGTCACCGACCTGCCGTTGCTGAGTTCACCTGAAAGTCTTATTTCATCCATCTTATTTTTCTGCGACTGGGCAGACAGGAGCATGCTGGGTAGTGTAGTAGCCTCAGGTCCTAGCTGGGTTAGCTCAGCTTCCATCTGGGCTCTCCTCCCTGGGACAGTTTGGTGGCACTTTGGTCCAGTAGGTCTTGGTGTTTGGTCGACCGTGGAACGGTGATCGTCTCAAAGTCTGCTGCTCTTAATCCTCAAACTTCCTTCTCAGATGTTGCTGAACATATTCTGTCATTGGTGCTCCAGTAATTAACACAGAAAATCAACAATTTAAGACCAAAAAATGAAGCCAAATCCATGGGAGCTACCCATGTTCATGCTGCCGCCGGTGCAAACATTTGCTAACTAGCACTGAAAAATAAAGTACAGTGAATGTCAGTAGCTTCGCAGGTAATTAAGTATTGGACTTATTAAAATGTTGACCTGTTGGTAGCGCTAGATGTGAACTTAAGGGATCACAAGTGTTGATAGAATTCATCTGGATAGGGACATGAATATTCTCACCAAATTTTATAGCATTACATTAATTAATTGTCAAGATATTTCACATTAAAGTCAGTGGGATTCATCCTCTGGGAACCATGCATGTCTGTACAGTATTTCCTTTATTTGATCTTTAACTGGAGCCGTAGTGTGTTTGATCTGCTCTCACTCTGTCTTTATTGGTGACCGTGTTCTCGGACGTCTTACTCACACTCTGAATGTTTGTTTTCACTTCGTGCTGCTCGTTTTAACCTCGTTAAGAAAAGTGTGAAATAAACACTCGACACTGATGTCGGCTGTTGCACTTCCTCTCTGACTAAAGGAGGCTTTGAGCGTCTTCGGTTTGTGTCTGAACAAACACGTGTGCTCCTGTACCTCTGAGATGTAGTACAGTATAAAGTACAATATGTACCTCTGAGATGTAGTACAGTAAAAAGTACAAT